GATGGTGACAGTGCAGTGGGGGTGCTGGCTGGGTGATGTTGACTAAATGGAACACGGTAGCACCACTGGCAGACACAAACTCCAGCACACGCGCACACGCACACACGTGGGACCGACTAAGGACTTTTCCCTTGCCAGAACACTTCTGAGCCGGGGTGAGGCAGCTGAGCAACACCCTTCTCTGCCCTGGTGTCCCTCAGACGCTCTCTCACAGAGTAAATGGCAAGGGGATACTGCTGTTGGGACACACCTCTGACTCAAATCATCACCTTGGCAGCTTACATTAAAACTACACCTCTCATTTTTGAGTGACTTGTGTTTTGAGGGCTGCAGAATTGCACTGTCAGACTAGATAGCACATACAACACGGTGCTCTACTGAATGAATGACTGAAAAGGCAGCTGCTTCACTGCAGTACGACAGGTTTGGCATGACAGCGTAATCAGATATCTCTATGTGTGTGTGTGTGTGTGTGTGTGTGTGTGTCTGCTAGTGGGTGTAAAAAGCTTCCATGTTTCCCATTCTTTCCTGGCAGAGTTAAGCGATTTGCTCAGAGCTGCTGAGTGATTTCTTTTGATCTAAAAAAACAAGCCCATACACAGCCATACTAAATGCACACATGACCGTACAGTATGTGCAATTGGTCCAGTTACACAAACACACACACAGGACATGTATGGCCCCAAGCTAAATAATCTGTTCTCACACTGGCACAGTCAAAGAGACAGGACACTCAGGACACTGAGAACACACACACATGCACCAAAGTAAATTTTCAGCCAAGAACCAGCCTTTTCTGTTTTCTTTAAACCAGCACATCCACAGTGCCGTCAAAGTTCTAACTTCAAGGTGGTATGACAGTTTCATTTCAACACTGTCACAGCCCAAAGAAGTATGCACCATGCGTGCCAAAAGCAGGGTTTACTCAATATTGTGATAGGGAAACCCTATGATTATAAAATAAAGTCAATGTTTATATCGACTTTATTTTATAAAGTGTGTGTGTTAAGGTTCACACAAACTTATAACAAAATTTCAAACCTGTATTAAAAACCAGAAAATGTCCTTAGGAGGCTTTTTTTATATTCATAGGTGTATGAGAGGCATCATTTCTCCACTATCCTCCTGCCTCTGAGACAGAATTAATTCATACCTGCTCCAAAACACAGCTGTCAACCCCAGCAGCAGACAGGGTATCGATAGAGGGGAGATAATCGGAGAGGCAGAGACGAACAGTTAGGCAGAGAAGCCTTCTGGGATACACACAAACACAGCCGACACACACACTTACTCTTGGATTAAGTTGTGATCAACACACAGACACCTACACATAACAACGCAAAAAGAAACTTGTGGAAGAGTATAAAAGTGTCAGGAATAGGCCAGTCAATAATCAGAGTGGTAGTCGAGCATCTCAGCAGCAGGAAAGTTTTCACCTCACTTGAAAGGCAATGAAGTGAACTTGTAACTCCAGCAAAGAAAAGAAGCCTAGAGAACGACTGGCAGTTTGGAGGATAAATACATTATCTTCTCAGCTCTGAGAGAGACCTTGTTCCTTTCAAATATGCAATTCTGAAAGCCGCCAATAGTTGTGAACCCTTGATAACTCAAGTGGTTTATGGACACTTTACACTTGCATACAACAAACTCAAAGTGGGATGAACGTGGTGTAATTCAGCAGCACGACATCAGCAATGGCCACAACTACCTCTCTGACAGTGACCCTGAAACAGCTGGTGATGACAATGAGTTCTAATCTTCTAATCGGCTAAAAAGGAGCCAGACACTTACGCACGTAGAGAATGACTCATCACAATGCAAACAGGAATTTTGAAGCGTTAATCAATTCAAACCCTGATGTGAAGCAAACAAGTGAATATATTAGGTATACTTAATATTTCTTACACATGAAAGAGTCGGATATGGATCATTATTTATCATTTAAATATTTATAACCAGACAGAATAACGTTGAGGAAACAGGTGAATGGAGTTGAACTGAAATCCTCTAATCCTCCCACAGCATGTAACAACCTCTGGCGGCTCACCAAGATCTTTGTTCCGTCGGACGTGTGCAGACAGCTCACTTTCCCAGTGGCCACTAGTCAGCAGACTGAGTTGCGGTAGCGAATCGATTCCTCGCTCTGAATCATTTTTTCTGACAGTTGACAATTTTAAGGCTGTCGTTTTTGCTCATCATCTGTGACAACTGTAATTGTTCGATGTTTGACAGATGTTTCCCCCCCTGGTTTATTCCTGTAGTTAAAAATATGAATCAAATTGGTTTTCTCTCATCGTTAATTCATTTCTTCTGTGGCAGCTGAACATGTTACACCAGCTTTCAGACACTGCTGCACAGTTAATCTAACACAACACTTTTAAAGCTTTTTAAACCCTGTTCAGGCTCATGTGGAAAATTTGCAAAACGTTTTAAGTCACTAAGACTGACATTTTTAGTTCAGATTTTCAAAAACTGCGTATCTGTGTTTTCTCTTAAAACGAAGCATTTGGGAAACAATGTCGTCACAGCTTACTTAGCACATGGCCACTCTTGCTTTATGTTCTCGTTCAATATACCCGATAATTCAAAAAGTGATCTCAAAATCTTAAAACACTGCGTAATAAACCTGAGTGACATTAAAGACTACTTCCTTTTTGTAATTGTGTTTCGTTCTGGAAACGATCGCCAGGTCTGACAGTGGACTTCAGCTATCACATAAAACCACACCATCCGTTATCTGCAGACATCAATGGGCGTCTGGTGTATAAATGTTATGAAATATGATGGTGTTGTGCAAACTGACCTACTGAAGGTAAGTATATCACAAACACACAACCTGAGCTACAACTCCAGTTGTAGGACCACAAACAGACGAATGATTACATCAAGTGCATTCATCTTTGCAACTATTGATTTTAGAGTAAAGTTCGGAAACAAAATCAATGTGATAAACGTATTTTGGTACAAATACTCTTTGTGGAGAAATTGCAGCTTGTCTGACCGTCTAATCTGATCCGGTCAATTTCAAATTAGCGTTTCTGATACAGTAGCATGTGAATACTGCAGAGTATCCAGTGCAGCTTCTGTCTTCTACTACAGGCTACAGATAAGCTGCAATGGAGCATCTGGAGGACAAATCCTGTGCTCAAGAATACATCTTATTTATTTCTCCAGTTCCAGATATGGAGGTGCTCTGTAACAGCATATTCAGGTTTATTCCTCTTGATACCTAATGTGCCTCAGAGAAAAAGAAGGAGAACAGACTGTCTAGTACATTTCTTTAAACAGTATGCAAAAATGTTGAAGGCTGAAGGAGAAGGATGAAAACACCCACAGCAAAAGAGTAATGTAAACAGTGGTGGTTGTTATTTTAAAACCTACCATGTTGAATTAATGTTACATCAGTAAAGCTGCATGGATTTGACTACATCAGTTCTGGTTTTTTTCTGATGGGGAAAAATACATTCTCACAGTCATCCCTGATTGAGGTTATTGTATCATAAAACCCATGAGTTTAAAGTCTGACTGCAAATGGATTCCTGTTACCTGTTTACGACCGAGCAAGTGAATTATTTAAAAATTTCAAATATCTTTTTCCTCAGGAGATCTTTAGAGCTGATCTCTGCAGAAGACTTAAACAATGGCTGCAGTCTATGATTTATTTCCTTCTGGGTAATTTATGTACTGTACATGTTTTTGCTCCCCCAACAGGAGGATGGAGCTGTGGGTTCAAATCTATATGTTTAACACAATTGCATTAACGAAAACACAACATCAAAAACCTCACAAGGGGAAACAAAACAAAATGGAGTTGTTTGTTTGCATCAAATTTTAAGTTGCGGCTATTTTGATGAGGTTTTCACAGATGATGATTCACTGACTTGCACTAAGTAACTCGGCTTGTTTCATTGTCAACACTTCCGTTTTGATTGTGTTTCCGTTGTGGTGCATGTGTAGTTGCGTTGTCATTTTTGCATTCGTGTTTTGGTTTTTGCATTTGTGTTTTCTGTAAATGCACTTACATGAGACATCTCAGCCACCGTACAAATGTGCTCCAGTGCTCGGACCTGACTAAACCCAGTTTGCTTCACTGGTTCAGTAACGTGAGAGCACTGAGCGGTTCTCTAGTGGAAAGAATAAAAAAACCCAAGGGCTAAATTTACAAGGGCTAAAGCTAAAATTGCCATCAGCGCTTGTCCTTCATTCAATAAGGTTAAATGAAATATGTCACAGTATTAAATGATAAAGAGCTTCAGCATCAATGTAAATAGGCAAACTTGATTAACCTTTTTCTGTATTGCTTTTGCTGATGAGCTAAATTGCATTGCCCTGCGTTACATAAAAGGTCCAAGTCCAAGGCGAAACACAAATCACCAAATGTAATTAGAGTTTTTCAGGAGGACAGAGAACTGAACATTTGACTCTGGAGTCATTATTTTACTGTATACTTGTTGGACTGAATGGACGAAAACATGAAAATTATCATTGCCCTTCATCCATCTTCCTCCTCACCTGCCCCTGACTTGCATCATCACGTTTGCCCCTTCCATCACCACACCCTCTTTCCCTTTCTTCATGCTAACCATGAAACGAGGCAGCGTCAGGTCCCGCAGTTTGTCCTCCTGCACGGCTGCAGCTACCTTCCCACACTCCCCATCAAGTAATTGCCTTGATTTTAATGACTGTTTCAATTATGCCTTCCTGGCTACAGCTCTCACCCTGTAATCTCCATCATTTCCAACCATTACACTCTTTCATTCCCTTGGCACCAATCAATCTTTGGTTTCTTTTAAACACTTTAAAACAGCGCAGCAGCTCTTTCCCTGAACAACAGTGACAACCTCCTGATCCCCCTCGCAGCAAAGCTGTTCAAGTGCTATTAGAGGGGAGAAGATGAGAAGAGCAGGAGAGAGAGAGAAGCAACCAAGAGCAAGAATGTGCCTTTCTCGTCAAAGTAAACACCACACAGGGTTGACATGTGTACATGGGAGAGTTCTTACCTGCTCTTTGACAGAGGCGAGGATGGAAGAGGTCGTCTCCGGCTCAGATCTGTCGCCGTTGGACGCTGGCATCACAGGGGGAACCATGGCCCCCTTCTCCTGCTCTGCAGGCTGGTCTGGCACCGGCATTGCTAATTTAACACACACAAAGAGGGAAACTTATTGTCTAGCCAGTAGTTTTAAAACAACAATTACGCAGAAAAAAGAGCATGGTAAAAATGGGTCAATAAATGTCGATCCATTTGTGAAGCTGTATAGTTATCTCAAAATATTTACTCTAGAAGGGATGAGACCTGTGCTGCCATCTGGCATCTACGTCAGATTATCCAATCAATTACACTTGGATTTGAAGAAGCAGGACTTCTTTAAAGACTGCATCTCTTATATGGTCTATTTCTTACATATAGTATTACTTGTGTTAGAAGATCATCACATTCTTAAAGCAACTGCTAAGGTCAATCTAAGTTAGCACTGAAGTTGTGAACGAAAAATGGAATACACATGTTCAACTCTCTTAGTTTTCAAAACACATTTCTCATTGGAACTGAATTTGAAACTTGAAACCCTTAAAATCAGTTTTCCAAACTGTAAATACAACTAATAAGACTAACAGACACATGCAATGACCTGGTGACTCCAAACTGTGACAGCGCGTTAGTTTGTGCTGTGTGACATATTGTTTTTCCTGCTGATTTGGTGCAGACATCAACACAGTCAAACGGCTGACGTGGAGGAAATTAAGGTACTTTAAATTCATCAGGCATCCGGTTTTTCTTTTCCTTTGCAGTCATTACTCAAAAGAATCTGTAAACTTGAAAACGGACAGGTATCAGTTTTCATTATTTTGTGTGTGTGAAGTGTTATTCTGTGTGAATAACACTTCAATTATCATCTCTGGTGTGAATTGCAAAGAAATGTCAAAAACGATGATTAGAAACTGTAGCAAATATATTGTTCCTTACAATTACACAGCTTTGAGTTTGTTCATGTTTTCTTCAATATCAAAGGAATGAAAATTGCCTCTACATCATGGCTACATTGTAAATAGGAACTGATCATTTGACATTCAATGCATAAAGGTGAAGGGAGGGTGCTATTTTGTCTGAGAGGAGGCCAACAGTGTAATACTTTCTTCTTTAGACTAACTTACTCATCTGGAGCTCTATATTTTTATTCTGGGAATCCACTAGAATAGCTTTGCATGATTCACACTCCACAAAAATGTATTATATTGACAATACTTATCTCAAACAGCCTGTTATGCAGCCCCTCAGTCAAGCCGCAGACTCAACCTGGCACACAAGTCCATACTAAACCTTTCCCGTTGGTAAGTGTACATATAATGGCAATGAGATTATTCAAGCATTGCAGAGAATGAGCTGTGAGTGGAGCAGATGACCATACATTGTCATTTCTACATAAATAAACAAACCAAAGCAGTCTGATGCAGGAGCTATTTCCTCACATTGCTGTTTTCTAAATGACAGAAAACAAGGAAAATCACCTCTTTTATTCTGACTGAATAGAGAGTAGACAATTATGAAACCAAAGCTTTATACATGTACCCTATGTCGACACTTTAAACACACGCAAGCACAATCACACCTCTGTCACAGCCAGTATGTCACCTCACAAATACGGACCCTATATAAAAATGTGATGCCCCACTTGTGAAGATTTTAATGACTCTAGGTGCGTGTCTCTAACTCAGGTCATTTCAAAGAGATTAGTCACAATAATTCTGTAATGTCTCCACCTTCATCATCAACCACCTCATCAACTATAAAAAAATCGAATCAGTCCTGCATGGATTGATCGGCCTTTTCTGTTTGGTGAATATGAAGCACTGTAGGCACTGATGTTTTCACGGTTATATACTGGATATTCACTGTGACACCTTTACACCAACCACCAACACCTCAAACCAAAACAAAGGCTTTGTTGACCACATGTCTGGTGTTGCACAGCCCAATGACAATCAAACAACCAGAAGCACTACAAAATAACACAGCAAACAAAAATAAAACTAGTTGCTGGAGCCCGCCACTGAGCTCCAGGCACTGTTGGAACCTGTGAGACATTTAAATGGGTGCTTCTAAAGTTTATTATGGGGATGAACTCACGCTTCCACTCTCTTGACTGCCTGTAGATTATGACAGAGACGCTGCAGGTCTGAGGTCACAACAGTTCTAGAAACCTCATTAAACTAATTAGCCTTTAAAGTCATTGTTCGTAGTTCAAGAGTGAATCTAATTTGGAGGAAGAGGGGAAGCTCTGTTGCTCTGAAACACAACTTCACACTCAGGTTAGTTAAAAATAGTTTTGAATTTGAAGCCATAGTTCTGTGGTAATTGAAGGTTGAGACAGACACCATGCGTTTTCTTCCCTTGCATCGTTTTACTCTTACTGCACATTCTGAGCAAAAAAGTTGCTATATAAAAAAGTGGGTGACATAGGACTACTTCTGTAACATTTATTGGAATAGTTTTAAATCACCATGTGTATCTTTCCTTTCTCAGAACAAACAGGGAGAGAGATAAATCACAGACATAGGGACAGGATTGTGTCAATACAACAACCCCGACTTCAGCAAAAGACAAAATAATGAACTGATTGAAAGTGAGATTTCATACTGAAGTCTCTTACTTGATCTGATCTGAGCTCTTTACTTTAACATTTGATAAAAGATCCAAATCTCCCACAATCTATACACTCACTGGTGTATGTGCACTTACTGTCTTGAGTGTTTTACAGATTCAAGCAGTTTTTATGTTAATGTCATTGAGAGAGCTAATCAGACAGTGATGGCAACTGAACCATTAGCATCATGCGAGCCTTCCAGCTCACACATAGACAGGCCAGTAAGGATGCAGACAGCCTGCAAATCTAACATCCAGTAAAGTCTATCAGTCAATCAGCTAACCAGCAGACAGACTGCAGGCAAGACAGGGTGGTGTTGGTAAATAAAAGATGCTCGCAAGATGGCCTGCATACTGTTATTTCACTCTCACTGACAAACACCACTTCTGTGTCTGGCTCAAATCCCCTCCTGAGTGGAGATGAGTCACCAGAGTTTAGCTCCTGAGCAACTCCAACAAAAACCATATTGCACCATCTGGCCTGACTGTTGCATTTCTCTTCAATGAAACAAGTCAAGTTAGGAGGTACGTCTTTGCTCAAGTCTGAATTATTAATATATGGACGAAATATCCATTATGGCAATCCAAATTGCTGTTTTGCATTTACTGATATTGAGGAACCGAGCTGTCTGACACAATACTTAATGAACTGACAAATAAAACAAAACAAATACGACTGCATTCAGCATATGAAACTAAATTGAATGTTTCTGATAAGACGCAATCATCTGCATTAGTAAAAGGAAAACTTAATGTTTATCCAGCAAAAATGTGATTTTGAGCCTCTGCGTAAAACGATGGTGCACCGTTTGTTTTCTGAGGAAGACAGAGATCGTAGAGAGTGCAAACCCTTCGTGATTAGTATCCAGGCAGGTGCTGTGTTCAGAAAACTGCAAAGTTGGCTCACTGTACATTGGCTGCTGCAGAGATAATCCTCATACCAAAACATTGGCAATCAAATGTCACAATCCTCCACCACCCCAATATTCCTCTAAGGCTATTGTCAGCAGGCCCAGTTGAGCTGCTATTGAATAGACGTGTTATGTGCAGCAGGGTACAATGTAATGGGATCCTCAGCTTAGAGGTGGCTTTTGTAGCTCGGGGGACCCATTTAATTGTAGCACATTCTGTAGTCAGGCTTCCTCTTGAACTGAGAAGGTATGATGGCCTGTCATTTCACTTGGCTCAGGCCTGGGGGAGAAATGAAGATTTCAAACTGCTGTTTTTGACAGCATGGCAGAGAACTTATTCTTTCAAAGATGTCTGCTATTTAGGCTCAACCTTAATTTGTTTAGGAAATTCAACAACTATTATAGACAGTTTAAATTACCTAAACTCACTCACTTTCTGTGAGTAATATCTCTTAAACCTTACCCACACGTATTATCAAGGATTCTGTTGACATTCATGACAAAAAACGGATAGCCTAGACTGAATTGTTTCAACAAGCACTTCGTATCTTGTGGCTCTTCAAGTGACCCCTCTTGCCCTGCACCTGTGACTTCCTACCCTGAGGTTTCCATGCATGATGGTCCCCAATTCAGCTTTTTGCCTTTTACCATACAGAAAGTAAATAAACCATTAAAAGCTCTTGATACCAGAAAGGGTCTGATCTTATGGACCCCTACTTTTTAAAATCTGATGGTTTATTGCACAGCCCCTAACTTATATTTCTAACCTCACAGTGAAAAATAAGACCGGAATATTGAACAAAATTTTTAAAACGATATTGAATACTTTTAATCAATTTTCATCATCGCTGGGATGTTGATGTTTTTGACTGATCTTGAAGGTTGTTTGGTTTGTTTTGCACCTTAATTCTTGTTTCATGTTGTAACGAGCCATGAGAGCCAAGAGAGCCAAGAGAGCTCAGCGGTACAATAAAACAAGCCCAGGACACCTTCTTCCTGTCTGGTAGTGGAAGAGATCCGGGAGATCTAAGCTGGATACAGATGTACAGTTGTAACTGTCTTTTTGTCCCAGGTGCTGTTAGCTCACAGGTCCTGGATGTGGGTCAATAACTGTTTTCTTTATAACCCTGGAAACAATCCCACTCTCTCCATGCTTCAGAGGAGTTTTTGTGGGAGACCGACACTTGAGCATTGGTGGCAGCCTGCTCAGCCTGTGCCCGAGGGAAAGCTTGCGACTGGTATATTACGATCCCTACTCATTCCCAATATGAGTCGAAGATCGCCTTGTATTTTACAGACTTGCCTCCATCCCAAGGTAACTCTGTCATTATATCACCACAGATCAATTTCCCATAGCTGTGCTTTTTGTCGTCTTAACTGCAGATCTCCGGGTGGAACATGTATTCCAGCTTTCTGACATTCCTTTGGCTAGAGAACACCGGTTCATCTCACAGGTTTGGGGGTCACATTAAGCATTTCCTCTGGTTTTCATCTTCAGACTAATGGTCAGACTGAGATCCTAAAAAGATATGTTGAATATTTGTTTGTGAATTTAATTTTAGTTAAACAAATGCACAATCT